CATATGACAAAATTTTTCCTTTGTTAATGTAGTCCAAAGGACCTTACAGATTAATCCATGTATTTGTAATGTATGAATACAAGTAGGTTTGTGTTTCTCATACAGGGTGAATCTGGAAAATTAATTTAATTTATACCCACAATATCTATCCTACTATCATTAGTTTTGCTACAGGTACTTCTCAAAACTAAAACACCAAAACAAAAAATTTTCTCAAGGGGACATTAATGTTTAACAATGGAGCATTTTCAGTGAAACCTAAAAATGTGGTATTCAGACTTGTTTTGAATATCTTTGATGAATTTTTTTAAATAGATTTTTTTTAGTTAGATGGACATAATACTTTTATTTTATTGATTTATTTTTACGTAGTGCTGAGAATCGAACCCATGGGTACCACTGAGCTACAACCCCAGACCAATCTTTGATGAATTTTTAAAAAAAGATTTTTTAGTTGCCAATGGACCTTTTATTTTATTTATTTATTCATATGTAGTGCTGAGGATCAAACCCAGGGCCTCACACATATCAGGCAAGTGCTCTACCACTGAGCCACAACTCTAGCCCCTCTTTGATGAATTTTAATTTAAAAGTTTTAAATAATTTAGAGACTTGATTTATCAGCCTTTTTGCTTTGACAAACCAATACCTTCTTCTTTCCTAGTTTGCAATGAATCCATTTTATGAACCCAATTCTCCTATTCGATCAAGCGCATTTGACAGAAAAGTTCAGTTTCTTGGGAAGAAACATCTTTTAAGCTGAATGCAGAAAAATTCTGAAGTAAACAGTGTCACCACAATGGGGTATGCTCAGGAATGTGTACATTGTAAGTAACTTGATTAAATAGTCTGGAAAACTTTTACTTGTCTCAGTTTATCTAAATCTAATAGAATTTCTTTATAAGTAGTTACATTCTGTTTCATGTGGATTATCAACAATTTGCTTGTGAAATGTTATTTATAAAGAGCTTTTTATCAATAATCTTAATAAATCGAGAATAAGCTTTTGACTTTCCTGATCTTGATATAACAATTCATTAAAAAACAAAAAAGTCAAGATTGGGTAGACAAAAAGATTCTCCAGAAGTGAATGAGCTTGATAGCACATACATTGACTGTATATTTGGAGATGTTATAAAACTTTATAGTACATAGTATTACTCAAGAAGCTGAAGCAGAAAGATTTTGCAGTGCTAAATGTTGCATGCCTGCCTCTGTCAGAGGGTAGGAATAGGATCCTACTATAGTTCTAGAATCCTGGACCCATGAATGAAAAATAGACCAGTTATAGGCCATAGTGAAACATTGCCTCCATGTCCTTATGTTCTTATAGTTCCTCTCTCTGAAGACAGTAAACTAAGGGTTAAATGGACCTGTTGATCTCTATTGTAAAAAAACTGTAATGCAATTTAAGAAATGTTATTAAAGAAGTTTAGATTACATTAACATTTGCAGTTGGCCTTTTTGGCTATACACTGGGGGACCAGGAATGGTCTTTCCTGTCCTTTAATAGTGTCTGATTTGACTGTAAAATAGTAAATATACAAGGAAGAGCAAGTAATAGAACTGGAGTCTTTTAAGCTTGGTCTTATATCCTGTTATGAAGTTGCTACTGTCATTTTTTTTACTCTGTTTATTTAATATCTTAAATAAAGCTGTATGTTCAATATTGTGGTAATTTTGCTTATTTCTGGTATTGGAATTGAACTCAGGAGTGCCCTATCACTAAGGTAAATCCCCAGCCCTTTTTATTTTGTATTTTGAGATAAGAACTTACTAAGATTGTCCAGGCTAGCCTTGAACTTGTGATCCTCCTGCCTCAGCCTCTGAAGTATAGATGTGTGCCGCTGTGCTGCCAGTTGAGGTAGTCTGATAACCAATTTTGAAGGGCTGCCCAACACAACCAGTTTTAGTCCTATTTCCCCTATTGAAAATCTGCAAAGTAAAATAACCTAATCCAATGGACAGATCACTTCTGAGTAGGCACCGTAGCTTTGGGAGCAGGCAAAGATACTCATAGAAATCTAGGAGTAATTCCAGCCACGCTAATAGGAGACCCAAGCATGTATTTATTGTGTATAATTTGCCCCACCCTTAGCATATAATCCTGAGGGCTATAAAGTGAGTCAGCTAGGAGCAGCAGTGTGTTAACAGCAGGAAGTCATAGGGCTGAGAAGATCTGCGTCAGGCTCTGTCTCAGCTACATAGGAATGGTACCCTGCAAATAGCCTTCCTTTTCTCAATCCTTGTGAGGGTGAGACTATATTCTCAGAGTTACATGCCAATTTTCATATGTGGCTGCATCATTGAAGGAGCTCAAAGGGACAGCCACCAGAATGGGACTTCAGAAGTGGGCCACATAGGGAAGCAGCATTCAAGAAAGGGGAATGGAGAAAACACAACAGGCTGACAGGATAGAACAAGGACTGGTTTAAGGGGGAAGTCAGGAGCTGAGCATTAGAAAAACAAAGGTGTTTAGCTTGAATCTGGTAGGTGATGCCTTGAAGATTCTGGAACACAAGAGTAAAGGGGTGAAATCAGTCATAAGAAAACCATACTAGGCACATGCATGTCAGTACTAAATTGTTAATATACATTAGTACTCCCAAAGTGACCCAGATAAAATACACAAATCTGGTTTTGTCCTCTCTAGCTGAAAATTTCCTAGGATGCTTCATTCAACATCCATGTTTCCTATGTGTAGAAGAGTTTCTGCTCTGCCCATGCTACTACCTTAATAACTCTGTTACTTCAATATTTCTGGTTGACAGTACTTGGCATCCTGGAAACCACTGACTATACGAGCTCTACCTTTCACTGGGTGCACGTAGTCGTCTTTTTTTCTCTTCAGTACTGCTTTATAAGATATATTGTGAGAGAACTTATATCATGGTGTCATAATAATAAAAGTGAGAAGTTTGCATAGGAATGTAAAAAGTAAGGTTTTCTTTTAAGATAAGGAACGTGTGTTGTTTTAACTTCAACTAGGGAATTTTTCACAAGGGTGAAGAAAAGTGGCAAAAACTTTAGTCCACTGATGGTATTGCAATTTTCCATCTCATGTTCCAAGTTCAGCAGGTTGCCTTTTTCTTAAAACACTCTTCCAGGGATGGGGATGTGGCTCAAGCGGTAATGCGCTCACCTGGCACGCACGGGGCACTGGGTTAGATCCTCAGCACCACATAAAAATAAAGACGTTGTGTCCACCGAAAACTGAAAAATATCTAAAAAATTCTCTTCTCTTTAAAACACACACACACACACAAAAAGAAAACACCTCTTCCTGCCTCAGCCTTTGAAGTATAGGTGTGTGCCACTGTGCTGGCAATTGTGGTAGTTTCATAACCAATTTTGAAGGGCCTCCCAATACCACCACTGTTTTAGTCTTATTTACCCTATTGAAAGTCTGCATTCATATACAGCTTGAACTTAGTTGTATGTATGACTATTGTAATGATAAGATGCCATGTGGTGAGCAACTCCTTTACCATGGGGCTGTGAGGCATGACCTACAGTTCTTCCCATCTGTTCACTGGGAGGCTGGGCAGCTGCTTCTCACCACTCCTGCTACCATAGTCCACTTGTTCCCCACTTCTATTCCCTTTTCCATATTGTTCTAATTTGTGTAGGTTGTACCCACCATTCGAGTACCTTTTACTTTCTTTAAACAAAAGAGAATCAGATTTCTCCGCTAATTTTTGTTGCTGGTTGAAGTGCTTTTCCATCAGCTGCAGTTTGTTTGAAGGTCAAAGCTATTCTGTAAAGTTCTTCCTCCTGTTTCTATATTTCAGTATCATGTTTGGTAAATTAGTGTTCACCAAAATTCTTTTAAGACAACATGAAGCTGGATTATTCTCCCTTCAGCCTTTCTCTGTGGACACAAAGATCTGTTCCTTTGATCATCTTTTGTTGCACAGGTCTAAAATTTTGGGAAGCCAAAGAAATGATTTGTTACATATCCATACAGTTAATGAATATTACTACTACTCTATATACAGTAGAAATACTCCAACTATATATATTAAGAAAAAATGACAAGGCACCATATAGTGGGTACACTTTTGATATAAAAACAAGTTCGGGGTTGTGGTTGTGGCTCAGTGGTAGAGCGCTTGCCTAGCATGTGTGAGGTACTGGGTTTAATCCTCAGCACCACATAAAAATAAATAAGGTTTGTGTTTAACTACAATTTTAAAAAATTGAAAATTTTAAAAGTACTGCTCAGCTGAGCGCCGTGGTGCATCATGTAATCCCAGCAGTTTAGGAGGCCGAGGAGAGGATTGCAAGTTCAAAGCCAGCCTCAGCAAAAGTGAGGCACTGTCTAATAAAATACAAAAAAAGGGTTGAGGATGTGGCTCAGTGGTTGAGTGCCCCCAAGTTTAATCCTCGGATACCCACCCCCGCAAAAGTACAGCTCATTCTAACATGAGAATATGAAGAAACCACCCCAAATTTAAAATGTTCTCCTATGACAAAACTGTCCCTTATGTTAGGAAATCAGACTTAGCCTGCTTACTACAATGATGTGTGATTCTCAATGGTTGAGGAAAAACGTATTAATCTAGTTTTTCAAATTTTACTTCCCTATATGACAATGGGCTCCCCTACTACACAGCTCCATAGCTGAGGGTCTTGTCCACATTAATTGCAGTCTAGATTTGAATTGTCTCCACAGGATAGGCACAGCATATGAACTTGACCCATGAAAGACCACAATCTGCTTTACCAAGTCTGGTCATTGCAGCATGTCCTCTTTTTTCAGAGCAAAAAAGTATCGAGTGTTTCCTTAGAGAAGGCACTAAATAATACCTTATCAAAGATGTCTTCATTTACCCTCTCACAAAGTACAATCCTTACTATAAAGTTGGCTTCTGTGTTGGGAAGATGGGGTTGCATGCGCTGCACAAATGAGCAACTGTAAGTCAGATGGATTCTAATATGTAGAATGAATGAGAAGGATTTAAATTATTTTAGAGATGAAGACAATCAAAAAAGCAATGCAATGTAAATGCATTAGATTTTAATCTTTAATATTTAACATTATTGCTTTAGGAAGTCATTTCCCTGAACCAAGAATACAATGCTAATTACATAAAAATATACAGGTATAAAAAGTAGTTCTCCATTTTCCCGGGGGGGGGGGGCAGGGGACAGGCACAGAACAATCCAAGTATAACTTCTAGAATAGTCAAGTTTTTTGTTTTAATTAGTTACAATTGTGGTCATCTTATTTATTAGCTCTAACTTACATATTTAAATTAAAGAAACATTATTAGGCAACCATTACAATTTATAAATGTAAGGTGCCATTATTGAGTAAATAGATTTCCTCCAGAATGGATGTGTCCCTTCTCCCACCAACTAATGAAGCAGCAATAAACATTAGTTGAAATTTATTAGTAGATGATACACTGCTGCAAACACTAATTCTCTTATCCACTCTTAAGTGCATGTATGAATTGGTTAGAACGCACTGATAATCTAACAATCAACAGCAAGATGAGCTTGTCTTGGGCTTTCGGTGGAGATGGACCGTGTCTGTCTGAATCAAATGATCTGACCTATCCTCGTTAGCAAGAACTCTTCGAACCGCTTCCTCAAAGGCTGCTGCAACATTGGTGGCATCTTTTGCACTTGTTTCAAAGTAAGGATAGTCGCCGTTCTCTCTGCACCAGGCTTGGGCTTCTTCAGTGGACACCTGCCGCTCATTTATGTCGATCTTGTTGCCTAAAATCACAAAAGGAAAACTTTCGGGCTCTTTTACCTCTGCATAATATATGAATTCTTTCTTCCAGTTACCCAAGTTCTGGAAGCTCTGTGAATCATCAACACTAAAAGTGAGCAGGCAACAGTCAGAACCTCTGTAAAATGGTGTCCTCAGGCTTCGGAATCGCTCTTGGCCAGCTGTGTCCCAAATCTGCATGGTAACAAAATGTCCATCCACCTCCAACTCTTTGTTTAAAAATTCCACACCTATTGTATGGAAGAGCTGGGCATCAAACTTATTAGTTACATATCTGTTCATAAGGGAACTCTTCCCAACTCCACCATCTCCCAGGAGAATTACTTTAAAAAGCGATGATTTTCCTGCCATTGTTAATCTTACAAGTTTTGACTTCAGAACCCTGTAAAATAAAAAGGTACCATTAAATTCCTTCACACCTGAATACTCTGCATTATTCTAGAAATATTAGCATTTAAGTGAACTAAAATAGCCCCAATTCCTTTTTGCAAGGAGCACACCTAAATAATAAGAACTGTCATTACGTGAGCATTAAACCATGTGCCAACTTCTATCCTACTATTTATTCCCTAGAACAGCTAGCAGGGACTCACTCTTCCTCTTTCTTGGGTCACAGCTACAAATCTCTCATTCAAGACCAAATCTGACCCCAAAGACCTGGCTCTGAACCATTGATCTATTAAGCCCCTCTTGCTCACAATAAGCCACATCATCCCTTGTTAAAAAAGGTGGTTAAGAGACCAAGTCTTCAGCTTTCTTTAGTATCTTCAAACAGCGCTTCAGTACACAGTGATGGTGTTCATGAATGGTGCTCCTTGTGCCAGGGATTTTTTTCTATTGCCCACCCCCCCTCCACTCTGCAGACATAGGCACTGTTAAGCAGGAAAGCCAGAGACTTCCAGAAGCTCACTGATCTGTCTGTGAAAAAGAAGTGAACCAACCACTGGTAAAGGGAGTTTATTTCTCCTCTTTAGGAACACTTTTTTGAGCTTGCTAAAATCAATGTCAGCAGCAATTAAGGAGGAGGGTACTGGGGATTGAATCCAGGGGCACTCACCCACTGAGTGACATCCTCAGCTCTTTTTTGTATTTTATTTAGAGACAGGATTCCACTGAGTTGCTTAGGGCCTTGCCAAGTTGCTGAGGCTGGCTTTGAATGTGATCCTCTTGTCTCAGCTTCCTGATCAACTGGGATTATAGGTGTGTGCAACTGCACCCAGCATAATTAATATAATCTGGCATATTCTACTCACAAGACTAATTTGGGCAGCTCTACCTCTTAGAAAATATGAGCCTGTGTTGTTACTTGTGTGTTTTCAAGTGGAATGAAATAAATGTAGATGTGCTATATTACAGGAAGTCCTGGAGCAGGATTAAAAACTTTCTTATACTTAAAGAGCCAACCTACAAATTGAGATTTCTGATGCTTATTGACAGCTAGTTCTAAGTGCTTATGGGAATACTTCCCTCTTTGATGCTTTTCTTTTTTAAATTATGGAAAATTTCAAACATACACAAAACTTCTAAGTAATGAAAATAATATAATGAATACCCATGAACTCTAAACCCAGATTTACCAAGTATCTATGTACGGCAAATCTATTTTTTCCTCAACTGCCACTCTCCTTTGTCCTCAGTTATTTTAAATCAAAATTATATCATTTAGCCTATAAATATTTCAGTATTAAATGGCTGTTTAAATATACTACATTTCATTAAAGAAAATAAACTGTAGAGAAGCACTGTTAAAAGAATTGTATACAGTGATCAAAATGTCCAATATGGCAATCATTAGCCAGATGTGGCTGTTCAGCACTTGACAAGTAGCTGGTGGGAGTAAGGAACTGAATTTTACCGGGCACTTAATCACTGAGCCACATCTTCAGCCCTTCTTTGTATTTTATTTAGAGACAGGGTCTCACTGAGTTGCTTAGCACCTTACTAAGTTGCTGAGGCTGGCTTTGAACTCGCAATCCTCCTGTCTCAGCCTCCTGAGACAATGGGATTACAGGCGTGTACCACCACTCTGGACTAGAAAAATGTTTTTTGGGCTGGGGATTAAACTCAGGGCTCAGCACACATTCTACCACTGAACTACACCCCCAGCCCATTTATTTTAGACTAATTTAAATAGTCACACTTAAACAATAGCTGCACTGGATGGCACAGCTCAAGAGTAAAGATGGTCATTAACCTTAATGTTAAAGTAAATATTGTGAATCCGTTGGAAGATAATAAAGACACAAATGACAATTGTTATTATTGACCAGGATAAGTTTGCAAAACCACTGCAGTTAACATTATCTGGCTGTTTCCTTGTCATATGCCAATGTGACCCAGTATAATGTAACCGAACACTTTTGTAACATTAAAGAACCATGTAGTATTTCACCACATAATCATCACAACCACATTAATGGTTAACATATATTCATGAGTATTCTGTGCATCCTAACCTTGCATCAAAAACAGTTTAGTAATAAATGATTTTTAAGTAATACCACCAAAATTTTTTTTTTTTAAAGCTTCAATGGTTGTCCCCACATTTTGGGAAAAAAAAAAAAAATCAATGCTTGTGTGGTGAAATGTGGAATTCTCCATTTCTAACTATAGGCTCTACTATTCTGATAAAAACCTGTAGCAGTTTGTATAGGGAGAAATCAAGTAAGTGGGAAAACATGATTAAAAAATGATAAACATATCTTAGTTCTTAATTCTTGTTGGTTCTTTTCAAATTACTACTCTATTCATTACTATGATAATAAATACAATTTAAACTCTTCAACAAAAGTGTGAGGCAAATAAAGTACCTACTTTCTGGGAGCCTTTTTTGGTATAAAATGGGTTGCTCTGCTCAATTCCCTAATGTTAGAGCAGAAAACAAAACAACTTCAAGTCCCTTAATTTCCTAACACAGGTAATAATTCACTAAATCTTAATTTTGAATTTTGCTTAAACAACTGCAACATAAAAAAGATCAACAAAACCAAAAAAGCAAACCAGTTGTACAGGCATGGGTCACATAAAGACTTCAGTCAACACCAGACCACATTGGAACAGTGCTCCCAAAGATTAAAATAGAGCTGAAAAATTCCTATCATCTAGTGGCATCATAGTTATTATAGTGCAATGAATTATTCATGTGTGGTGTAAACCAACCTACAATGCTGCCAGTTGTAGAGAATGTACAGCACATACAATTATGTACAGTACATAATACTTGCTAATGATTATATTACTGGTTATGTATTTATTAAACTATACTTTAAATAATATTTTTAAATTTATTTATTCTTATTAGTTATATGACAGCAGAATGCAATTGAATTCATTATACAAATAGAGCACAATTTTTCATGTCTCTGGTTGTATACTATACTATCATTACTTTAAGGTATACTCCTACTTGTTAAGAAGTTTACTACAAAACATATGCCATGTTAGATCAGAGCAGTCTCATACACCTCATGTTTACTACGTTTACTGATGGCATCAAGAGGTCATGTCTAGTGATTGATCTGTACCACTGAGGTTTGTGTAACCATACTCAATGGTCACACAAAGTAGAAATCACCTTATTATGCATTTCTCAGAATGTGTCCCCACTGTTAACTGTATTTCAGTGTAGGGAAAGCATCTGATGCTTCCTCAAATGATTAATATTCTTCAATGGTTTATCTCAGGACTAAGGTCAATTTCTAAGGCAAAAGAGCTCACCTCCCACCTTGCCTCTTTGCTTGAGTCATTCTGAAATGCATTGTCACATGGAACTGACAGCTCATCTTACACATTCATTACACTGGCATATGCTGTTCCCTCTGCTGGTGGTCCTCCAACTCCCACTCCCATGAACTGCTATGCTTTCAGACCTGCTCTTGGCATGGTCATCGACTCCACTGGGAACCTTTTCCCAGCAACTCCCCTAATGTTGTTCCTTTCATACAATTTTTAACATACTGAAACACAAAAGTTCCATGGTGTGTGTTATGAGGGAATAACAGATGTGCATGATTCTATCATTTATCCTAGTATTCTAATAAGTCTACTAATCTAACTGCCTGACCAGACACAAAGTTTTATTGTAAAGCATTGCATTTTTAGAATCATTAAATGAAACTGAAAGCCAGATTCTATAATCAAACAACTCCACCTAGATTAAATCCTTGAGATTTCTAATTTATAATTTTATCAGGACACTCGAATAATTTTTTTCCTTTCTCATAATCATGTGGCATTTCCTACTTTGTATTATTTTTATGACCAAACAAATTTGGCTTATGCAAAACCCATATACCAGGAAATAGGGTATAATTTTTCAAATTTCCTAACTACAGTTTAGAAATCAACCTCAGATACTATTTAGGAATATATTAGTATTTTCTACAATAATTAATAATATATATGAATACCTCTTTGATTGTAACCTATATACAAACATACATGGTGGTTATAACTAAATATGCAAACCATCTTATTTCCCACTGACATCTAACAGAGGCCAGCTTCACTAAATCAATACATTAACACAATCATAATTTATGGACATTAAAAATGTTCCCTTTGTTTTTCTTTAAAACCAGAATTCTTTGCAAAAATTTTAACATAAATTAAACAATTAAAAGTATCCTACTAGCTGGGTGTGCAATACTTGTCATCCTATACAGGAAATCCAAGCGGCTCGGGAGGCTTAGACAGGAGGACTGCAAGTTCAAAGCCAGCTTCAGCAAAATAGAGGTGCTAAGCGACTCAGTGAGACCCTATCTCTAAGTAAAATAAAAAATAGGCTGGGAATGTGGATCAGTGGTTGAGTGCCCCTGAGTTCAATCTCTGGTAACCTTGGGGGGGGGGGCGGATCCTACTATGTCATTTAAAAATTTTACCTAAAAGTGTCGGGCTCAGTAGCACACACCTGTAATCCCAGCGATTCAGGAGGCTGAGGCAGGAGGTTTGCGAGTTCAAAGCCAGCCTCAAGCAAGGCCCCAAGCAACCTAACAAGATTAAAATATGAAAAGGGTTGGGGATGTGGTTCAGTGGTTAAGCACTCCTGGCTTCAAAAAAAGCCTTATGTTCCTTATGTTTGGAATGACTATCCAAAGGCAATAATCTTTACCAAGGTGAAAAACATTACTTCAGTAATTTAGCTAAATTCTACAGATAAAAATATCTGGGAAAAGCATAGTCCCATCAACTTTACCTTAGTAGAAGTTCAATTCAAGCATCATTACCTGCAAAAAAATTAGAAAGCTCACATTAGCAACTTGAACTTCTTTGCATAATTTTAAGACTAAAAACAATAATTAAAATATGAAAGAAATATGTGATTTCTATTAGCAGCCAGTTTCTTAACCTAAAACACCATACCTAAGTGCAGTCCATGATCATCTTCAGCCTAAAAAAAAGGCCTACATCAAATATTACACTTTAATTGTTTTTTCCCAAAAAAACTGTTGCCTGCCAACCCTTCTAAGTTTCACACACCACAATACCTATAAAATTATATTAAGAGGAAGTAGAGAATATCTCATTTATTCTTTAAAACTTGTCCAAATTTTGGGTGGATGAGAACAGGTCATTCTAGAAAACAATATAAAGACAACACAAACAAGGAAAACAAAAGGGGAGGAGGGAGGAGGCACCAACATGATACAGGAAGAGTGTGGACAAGGCTTAAGGTAGCACAGTGTCATGAAGCTCCTGTGCAACCAAGGCAAAATGAAAACTTCCTTCTGAGTGAACAAGGGCACAGGTCAGAAAGGAGAGCTTATTCCCAGTACCAACAGCCAGGAGCACAGCCCCTGCATGAGCTACTTAACCTCTTGAAGTCTCATGGAAGCAGGGGTGACAACAGAGGGCTGGGGGTGTAACTCAGTGGTAAAGCACTTGCCTAATAAGTGCAAGGCCCTGAGTTCAATCCCCAGCAACACAAAAACAAAGTGGCCAATCTTATAGGATTGTTGGGAAGATTCACTCAGATCATGGGACAAAAATGTTTTGTCACAATGAAGGAAATTTCTGTGGAATAAGTATATGAAGAAGTCTTTACTGGCAGTTTTACAGACAGGTTCTTTAATGGCCTTTTCTTACCTTGAATTTCAGCAAGAGCTATGTGGAGAACAAGTAAGAGGGTAGGCAGGCCTACATTAGACACCAAAGGATCAAATTCAATTTGAAGGTTTCCCAGTGATGCTAATGTAGAACTGTACTAGGTACTAAGTCTCTTAGTCTAAACCAATGGTTTCACCCCTATACCCACCTTTGTAAAGCAAATAGCATTTTTGTGGGGGATATATATATATATATATCAGTATGTGTGTATATATAATCAGTTCTTAACTCATATATAATTCAATCAATGAAAAAAAATACTCTTCAAAATGCTAACATTTAGGATTAAGGATAAAACAGCAGCAACTAACACTGATGGAGTTCTCTGTGCCATTTACCCTATGACACTGCATTTATGCCTCACAAGTCTCTTATTACTCCTACATTACAGATGAGGATGCTGACTCAGAGGTTACATAGCTTGCCCAGGATCACACAACTAGCAAAAGGCGAGAATAAGACATACATGTGACAGACTCTAAAGCTCAGGCACTTAATCCACTAGGCTATGACAAATGCAACTGATTCTGCATTTGTTTGAGGATTTTAGTGTTGTTGTAGGTATAATGAAAATAAGCATGGCCAGATGCGGCATGCATGCCTGTAATCCCAGAGGCTCAGGAGGCCGAGACAGGAGGATTGCAAGTTCAAAGCCAGTCTGAGCAACTTAGCGAGGCACTAAAGCAACTCAGCAAGACTGTCTCAGAAAATAAAAAGGGCTGAGGATGTTGCTCAGTGGTTAATCATCTCTGGGTTCCATCCCTAGTACCAAAATAATAAACAAGTTTTTTAAAAAAAGATAAAAAAATAAAAGGAACTGGAGATGTAGCTCAGTGGTAAAGTGCACCTGGGTTCAACCCCCAGTGCCCTCCTCCTCCCCCAAAAAGCAGTCGCTAAGTCAGAGACTTTCAACAGTTTGCTTTATTTCAAGATCTGCACAAGAAGGCCAGGTGTGGTGGTGCACACCTGTGTAATCCCACCAACTTTGGAGGCTAAGGCAGGAGGATGGCAAGTTTGAAGCCAGTCAATTAACTTAGCAAAACACTATCTCAAAAAAAAAAAAAAAAAGTGCTGAGAATGTAGATCAGTTGTTAAGTGACCCTGGATTTAATCCCTAGCACCGAAGGTAGAGGAGAGATCTGCACCACGAACAAGTTAACCTAACAGAACTAGTAGTTGCTAATCTTTCAATATGTAGTAAAAAGCACATATTGTACCATAAAACAAATGAGTGTGCCTGTTTTACTAGTAAACCATTTATTAGAGTTTTAAATGGTTTAAAACACATTTTAAATGAAATGTGAGCCAAAGTGTGCAGAACTCTAAAGCATCTCCACAGAAGGCTAGTTTTCCATAGGATGAATGGGAAAGTTGTTTCTCAAAAAGGATTTACTGAGTGCCTACTATGTGCCACACACTGAGGATACAAACCACACACACATAATCCGTCTGTGGGTGAGCGTGACTTTCATACATAAAGCCACTTAAGTCACAACTGTGGCAAGTCCTACAAAATGAGAGGTGAGAGGTACTATAACTACTCACACTCAGCCCAAAATAAAAGAACAATTTAAAATAGTGTAGGGGAGTTTCCCCCCATCTCCCATGGTGAGTGAGAGACATAATGTGCAAATCTAGGGCTCCTTCAATCAGATCCAAGCCCTGCATGCAGTATCTCATGGAGCTGGTCCTGATTCCAGCCATCAGGACTTACTTTGCATACAACATAATCCTATAACATAAGCCAGCTGTTTTACCTGCCAAGCTACAATTAAGAAAAAAGCAGTACTTTCAATGCCAGAAGGAAATGGCTGTGTCACAGTTTTAATGACTGTACATTAGTCTCCAACGTGGTATCTCAATGATCATTTTAGCTGCATGCTGTTCTTAGGACACAGGCCTCACCAACATGACTCGAAGAAAGGGGAATCTGACCTGGGGGAAGTGGGTTTGACCATAGGCTAAGCTCAACAGGAGGGGAGAACCTAAAAGAAGGGAGCCTGAACCAGGAAGAGGGACCACCAACCCATGTCAAGACCCTGCCAAGAAAGCCTGGCCCTGCCAAAGACTGGGAGAACCCAAAGTAAACCTAAGCACCCAGAGGCCGGAGAGTAAGGAGTGTGCTAGAGAGATGGGACTGGAACAGGCAGGGTCTTAAAAGTCACAGGAAGAATTTCTATCTGTACACTGGAGTACCAGAAAGTCACCGAAATAGCTTTAGCAAATGCAGAGTCCAGAAATATAATTGGCTGCAGTAGGAGAATGAGCTGCAAGCGAGAAGACTAGGAAGGCTGCAGGTAAGTAGGGATGGATGCCATTATGATCCTTCTCCAATGCCAATGAATGGTGTCAGCTAGGCTTAGGATAAAAAACTGAGGTGGTTATGTCTCACACTTGATCCTCCAGTAAGATGTTCACTCTGTGACTTCAAGTTTCACCTTCTCTCCTTTGAATCCTTCCTTTTGAAGTCCAGCTACCTCCTACACCCCTTGTAGATGCAGCTAACCTCATCCCCTCCTGCATCTCTGACTAAATCCTCTTACCCCAGAGCTCCTCATACCTCTGCACGTATCTACCATTTGCCATATGGAATTCTGTAACAGACATGCCTATTATGTGTAATAAAAATGAAACATGTTCTCTAAAAAGGTTCACAATATAGGGACATGTATTATATACCACTAAAAATTGCTTTTCCTGGGTTGGGGTTGTGGCTCAGTGGTAGAGCGCTTGCCTGGCACATGTGAGGCACTGGGTTGGATCCTCAGCACCACATATAAATAAATGAATAAAATAAAGGTCCATAAACATCTTAAATAAAATACTCAAAAAATACTTTTCCATTTGTCCATTTTTTAGACTATACCACAAAATACATGCCCATAGTATTCTAAAGCCACCTTCCTCAAAAAAAAAAAAAAAAAAAGAAAGGAAACTTTGTAAGAATGTTAATTAGGCAAATGCAAATAATTTAAATGCCTAATTAGATGATGCTCTAAACAACCTCAGACAACATGGAGATATGAGATTATAGAAACACACTATTAAGTGATGAAATAAAATAAAATGCACACTGAAATCACACCATGTAAAAGATCACAGATTTATATTAAAGTCTGTAAGAAATCCTAGAAAAATCAATGTTGAATTCAAAGTTTTGATTTGGTTGCAAAGTCACACTTTTTTTAATATCAAGTGTTTTTTAAAGCTTCATTTCACTCAAGGCCTAGCTTGACTGAATCCTACCATTAAATGAAATGGAAATCATTTTCTTTTAAATTTTCTTCAAAAACCCACCAGACAGCAAGAATATCACTTTCTAAAATGGGCATAGTGGTGCACACCTATAATCTCAGCAACTCGAGAGCCTGAGACAAGAGGATTCCAAGTTCCAGGCCAGCCTAGGCAACTTAGTGATACAGTGTCTTAAAATAAAAAACAAAAAGGACTAGAGATGTGACTCAGAGGTAAAATGCAATGGCTTCAATCCCCAGTACCAAAAAAATCACCAGTAACTAAAAATAAGATTCAATATGATACCAAAAGCACAAGCAAGAAATAATAAACTGCATTCATCCAAATTTCAAACTTTTATGCCTCAAAGGACACTATCAAAAAAGTGAAGAGACAATCTATGGGATGAGAGAAAGTATTTATAATGTGTAAGCAACTTAATCTAAAATATATAAACAATTTTTATAACTCATCAATTTAAAGAAAACCCAAATAACCCAATTTAAAAATGGGCAAAAATGTTATCATTAGTTGTTAGCAAAATGCAAATCAAAACCACAATGAATTACTCATACATAAAGAAGAATAAAGACTTTTATTTGTAGGAAAATGGATGGAACTGGAGATCATCATGTTACGTAATACAAGCCAGACACAGAAAGACAAATATTGCAGGTTCTCTCTCACATGTGGAAATTTTTAAAAAGGAATGACCTGAAAGCAGAAGAGGGACTGTTAGGGACTAAGAAGGGGGAAGCAGAGGAAGAAGAGGATAAGGAAGGGTGGACATAATCAATGTAAGATATATGCATGTACCATAATGTCACAGTGAAACTCATTAATATGTACAATTAGTATGTATTAATAAATATGATAAAAAACACAA